TTTTAGTCACATTTTTATTTAATTTTTGAGACTTAGATCCCCTCCCTTTATTCCCTCCATCCAATTTAATGCACTCTATTATACATATAAGGCTTATTGAGTCTAATTTGTGTCCCTAAATGTCCTTTGAGGTGGATCCTGGAGCCTGGTTAACCTACCAAGAGTCTCCTCTGTGAAAGAGACTGTCTGCCCCTCCCAGCAGCCATCTGTTACCACAATTTTCTTAGAAGGGGTTGGGGTTTCTTACCCACTTCCCCATGTCCATGCTGGGATTTTGTCTAGTTTGAGCTTGCATAGGACTTGTGCATACTGTCACCATTGCTGTGAGTTCATATGAGTAACTGTCCAGCTGTCTGGAAGACTCTGTTTCTTGTGGTTACCCACCCCCTCTGGTTCTTACAATCTTTCCACCTTCTCTTCTACAATGTTCTCTGAGCCTTAGGAGGCAGAGGTTTGATACAGGTGTCCTATTCAGAGATAAGCACTCTGCAGCCTCTTGTTGTCTGCACACTGTCCAATTGTGGGTTTCTGTGTTAATCACCATCTGCTGCATAAGAAAACTTCTCTGGTGAGAGTTGTGAGATGCATTAATCTATGAGTATAACAATAAGTCATTAGGAGTCAATTAATATAACTATTTAGTAGAAAACTAGCATTAGGTTCTCCTTTATGTCCCATGACCTGTCAATATCAGGTATGGGCTCCAATGAAAGAGTGGTTGGTTACTCTCATAATATATGTGCCACTATTGCACTTGTGGGCATATCTTGCCAGGCAAGTTTTTACTGCAGTTTATAGAATTCACAACTGAATAAGGTTGAAGATTATTTTTTCCTTCTAAGAGTGTAGACCTTCCAGCACTATGACCACTGGCCAGTAGAGATAAGGCTCTGAAGTCAGCACCAGCTTGATTTCTCCTTGTTTGTTCTACAGCTCATCTATGTAGTGTCTTCAGTACAGGGTCTTGCCTTCCAGTTCTGGTGGATAGCCAAGAGCAGGGGCAATGGCCAGTATTGTCTGAGGGTCTATGGGACCCAAGGTCAACAGTGCCTACAGAGGAAGTTCATTCCTGGCATTTCTTTTCATTATCCTATGATGTCTAGTTAGGGCAATGTTGTAGGATAACTCCTTTTAATCTCTTTCAATCTCTTTTTATGATGTACATGTCTATACTTTAAGAAATTTAAAAAAAATGTGTGTGGGCCCCATGTGGTAACGCATGCCTTTAATCCCAACCTGAAAGAAAAATTGTGTGTGTGTGTGTGTGTGTGTGTGTGTGTGTGTGTCTGTGCTTATAGGTGTGTCTGTGTGTCTGTGTCTTGTGGGGGTTATGTACATGTGAGTACAATACCTGCAGAGACCAGAAGAGGGCATCAGACCCCCAGGTACTGGAGTTAAGCAGTTGTGAGCTACGTGATGTGGGTGCTGGGAGCCTCAGCACTTTTAACTACTGGGTAATCTCTACAGCCCAGTTTTGGATGTTTTCAACCAGCAGAACTTTACTGTTTTCTGGGGGAGCACACGCATCTTTCCTTTCTATCTTCTGCCTCAATCACCAGTATTACCCTGAATCAGACAGTGCCTGGGTGTGGGTGTTCTTATGCTAAAATGAACAGGCTTTTTTAGGCTAACCAGGGTCCTTTGAGGAGAAAAAAGTGTAAGCTAGAAAAACATTGTATTCACAGGGCCTTACATACTTACAGGTGTGTGTCTAAATAACCCACTGTGGGCCAGTGGAAACAAATTGTGCCAAGAGCTGCAAGGGGCAGAGGAGCCTCCCTAACCCTGGGCTCTCCTGTGCTGTGTTCAGTGTCTGTACAGCTTCCTATTCTTTCTATTAACACCCCCTCCCAACCACCTCACCAAGTCAAGGAAGAGAATCCTTATTTCAGCTTTTTAAGATAGAAAAATTACACCTGATGATTCATTTATGATTTTGTGTCGGTGTGAGTGTGCGTATGGGTGTGGGCATATACATACCATGTGGCACATGTGGAGGTCAGAGGATGGGATGCAAGTGTCAGTTCTCTCCTTCTACCATGTGGGTCCCAGGGATCAAAATCAGACTGCCACCAGGCTTGACTGCAAGTGCCTGTACCCTCTGAGCCATCTTGTTGGCCCCACGCTTGAGAATTCTAATATGTTAACTTTAAAATTGGTTGAAAGTGAGCCCACTTCAGTCCTGCCTCTGTCCATCTCACCCTCCTCTTGCATAGAAAGTTGCATTAAAACAACGATCACGTGTGCTGCCAGGATGGTGCTTAAATGATGACCTTAGCAGGCCAGTGAATTTGGAAGAAGTATGGTTTCTGTCTTCCAAATGAAACATAAATACTTCCTCAGCCAACAGTAGTCATTTCTTGGGTCTGTAAATAAATAAAACTCCAGAATCCATCTGAAACTGGAAGTACGCCATGCACCCTCATGAAGTATAAAATCTCAGTGTTGCTGAGGAACACATTTTCAAATAAATGTTCAGAGGAGACCAGTCGAAGCTCTATAGCTTACTGTGTTTTATTCATCTGAACTCTTTAAAATAAATAATGAATATTGTATTATAGAAAGTGCACAAATAAATACTTATTATAATACTTATTATTAATGATAATCCAAGTTGTGGGAGCCTGAGGCTCATCAGAAGTGAAAAGAAGAGAGAGTGTTTGTGCAGAGAGCGAACAGGCAGGGGTTACTGTTATTGACCTCAGGCAGTGGTGCTTGGTCCACTGCCTGAGGTCATCAATGACTACCCTAATGTTTGGGCAGTCCTTATAAAACATCAGGGTACTTGATTGGGAGACATTAGGGGGTTTTGGTATGTCAGGATTAAGAAGGAGGGAATTTTGCTATCTTGTAAAGGCAATCTGGTCTGCTTGGGAAATGCTGTCCTTACCTTTCCTGGAAGGTCAGATAAACAGCTAAGCTTCAGCCTGGTGACCTGGAACTCTAGCAAGAGTGACTCCATTTTTAGCCTGGCCTTAGTCCAAAACAATGGCCTCCTGCCATTTTTATTTGATAATGGGTGTTTTTCAGTGTTGGGCTTGCAAAAGTGTCTCATAAGGGCAGCACAACCCAAACAAGTCCTGGCTGCATGGGAGTCACAACAGATGCTAATCCTTCATGAAACTTACTTCACTGGGCCTGAGAGATGGCCCAGTAGTTAAGAGCATTGACTGCACTTGCAGAGGACCTGGATTCGAATCCCACACCCACATGGCAGCAGCTAACAACCATCAGTAACTCCAGTTCCAGGGGATCCGATGCCCTCTTCTGGCCCCTGGGGACACTGCATGACAGGGGTGTACGTACAGGCGTGCAGGCGGAACACTCACGTGAAATAAAAATAAATACTAAAAAAAAAAAATAAGGCTCTTACTTCAGATTAAAACCTTAAACATCCCAGGAAGGAAATTATTACTTAGGAAAGACCAAGTTGTTTTCCTCCTGTTCACCAATGACCTGCCCTGCTGTGTTGTCTCCCTGATAGCTGCACCATGCATGAGTTGAAATTGGCTTTCTGACTGGTAATGAAATCCTAAGGATCCAATGCTTTGAAGCCAGAAGTTACAAAAGCCACACCAGGCTCAAGCCCACCCCAGATGAGCAAACTGACACACTGTGCTTGGTCCACTGCCTGAGGTCAATGACAGTAACCCCTGCCCTTTCACCCTTCGCACAAACATTTGCTCTCGTTTTCACTTCTGGTCAGCCTCAGGCTTCCACAGGTTGGAAATGTGGGAGGAAGGAGGGACAGAGTAGGAAGCTCTTCCTCTTGGGCACAGGTCCTCCTGGAGGACGCACAGTCCCCCCTGGGGAACTCCACTGTGGTGTAGTGAATTGGCTCTCGTATTGTTCCAGTGCTAACAATGACTCTTTTCCCACCCAGTTTAAAGTTATTCCCACAGATAGACTGCTGTAGCCCATGTCCACTGTGAAATCATAATACCTTTTCAGATGGTCTTGGTGGGCGGAATTCAGATGGGGCGGGCCGGCTCTTTCCCGAGTAGCCCATGTAGGAAGTGTATGTCTGTGCTTAAGTCGCTTGCTCTCTGAGACACTTTCTCATCCCACACATTAGGCCCTCCAGCTTCAGGATCCGAATCCATGTTATCTCACCTGTTGCAGTAAGGAGTTAGGGGGTGAGGCTCAGCACGTGGGGAGATCTCTCCTGCATTCTTCTCCTTCAGTGTCAACCCCTTCATATCCTAAAAGTAAAAATGGAATTTTTTTTAAAGGGCTATTTTGAATTTTCATTTGTGTGTGTGTGTGTGTGTGTGTGTGTGTGTGTGTGGGATCCGAATCCATGTTATCTCACCTGTTGCAGTAAGGAGTTAGGGGATGAGGCTCAGCACATGGGGAGATCTCTCCTGCATTCTTCTCCTTCAGTGTCAACCCCTTCATATCCTAAAAGTAAAAACGGAATTTTTTTTAAAGGGCTATTTTGAATTTTTATTTGTGTGCGTGTGTGTGTGTGTGTGTGTGTGTGTGTGTGTGTGTGTGTGTGTGTGTGTGTGTGTGTCCAATGGGAAGAAAGATCTCATCCTTCTAGTTCAAGCCTTGGTAACACCTGGACTCTGAGTCCTCATGATGGGCTTTTGCCCTT